CAGGTTTAGGGTCAACTTTCATCTCGAAATTTTGCGGTCTAAAGGCTCCGACCTCGGAGGCCGGGGTAGGTGAAATATGCCCGCCCTGTGTTAGTCAATTCTCACTGCACACAATACCCCAGCGCCGGCCTCCGCTGGAAGCCCCTCAACAGGAAGTCGGGTTTGCGTGCGATCTACGTCCTGGGAGCCCAATCAGCGGCCCCGCTCCCGCCTCGGGCCGAGTCACGTGTCAGCCAAAGATGGCTGCGCCCTGGCGAGTTTAGCAAAGGTTGCGGTGAGCCTTAGCTGTGAAGGAAGACCGGAGGAAGCACCGGCTGCGGGAGGGGAGCATAACGTACTGGCATTCTAGGAAAGTGCAGTAAGTACCCGGGTATCGGAAGGACAGCGCGGGAATGAGATCGTGAGACTGGGTGAGAAGGGAGATAGGAGTCGTGCCTATGGTGCCGACAGTCCCTTCGTTTTACACCCTGGAAAAAAATAACTTTATATGCAAAATAAGCCAATAGGAATCTAATCCCGGGTTTACTTCCAGTTTACAGGGTCTGCTGAGCCTAACTTAATTTTCAGACGCTGCACTTTTTTCATTGCCTCTCGGAGCTATCCTGAGTGACGTAGGTACTGCAAAAGCTATTCGAAATATTTATAGTATTTAAAGGTGCCATTGTCTTTGATAGGGATTTATTATTAATAACAGGGACAAAATGACCTATTATGAGCTGCTAGGTTAGATTTTTTACCGAATTAAGGATGACTTTTAATAGCCACACCGTAGAAATGGCTAGTTCACACAACTCGGAACCTTACCAATAGAGCATAGAACAGAAAACTAGTGATAGCATTAGGAGGTACTTTCAGAGGACATAATGTCTTTTATTTCAGACATGTACACCATACAATTTCTCCATAGATACCAAATGTGATTACTTATGTACCTCTCCACCCCCACACCCAACACAAATAAAATCATTCAAAGCTCCTGTAGGGCAGAGGTTGTGTCGTGTTCTTGTAACCAAGGCCCTCC